AGTTCAAACTTCCATAGATGCATTTGCATATGCAGTACATTACATATTCATTGCCTTTTTCTTCCCACAAGTATTTTCAGTGTTGAATGAATATTATTTATTCAATTGCACCATTATTATTTTGGAATGAAATCTATACTGTAATTATAAGTATCTACAGTTACATGCTTATCTCTGGTTTCATGTCGTCCAGTGTTGTGACAATTAAAAAAAAAAATGGGACTTTAAACTTAAATCTCATTGAAAAGTTAATTGTGGAGTTGCACACAAGGTCATGTCTAATGACAAAGTATTTTGATGCATAACTGAATCTCACTTAAAACATATACATATATTTTCCTACCCATTTCTTTAGAGAGAGTCTTCAGAATTCTTTATAGCCCTAACATCATTCCCCTGAAACCTTTCAATTTTCATGTTTTGAAGATTTTTAAATCCCCAAAATAATAAAACCTTATCTCTGGCCCACTGAAAGATTAAGACTAGGAAAAAGTAGCACAGCTTCTCCATTTAGAATAGCCAAGGTTCATCGATAACCATTTCTGCAGAGAAAAAAAATAAAACAAAGGAAAGGTTATAAAAGGTTAAAATATTCTCACAATAACTAAAATTCACTTTTTCTTTTCAAAGACAAGAAAAAGGGTAGCTGTACCACAGGGTGCTTAGAAAGCACTGTCTTTCAAGATAGGAAAGAAATTCCAGATGACATCATTTTTGGCCAAAGCTCAAAGGCTACTGTGAAGGGATACAGCTCTTCCCTACTACTCCCCATGTAAAGATCAAAATGAAGGCAAAGGGCCAATTCTTAGAGATACCTCATCCCAAATGTGCTATGTGATTACCTACATACATTGCATATGTGAGAAGTATTTTTTTTATCAGTAAAGCCACAAATGCTTCTTACGTAGAATTGAAGTAGAATTCTTCCCCACTCGGCCTTACCTAATAATGGTGACGATCAAAGACCAAAGCGGTTTACACAAAGCACTCTTGATTCTACTTACGCAACGCTGGACCAGTTAAAAACAGCGTGAGGCCATGCTGGTTTTGGGGGGGGCCACTGAGGGTATACATCCTGTCACCCAGAGTACTAGTTTTGTTCCAAAGAAGCATAATGGAGTTTTAAAAGCTGGGACATTTTTTTCAGGCCTCCGCCTGTACAGAGAAGTTACACCAATTGAATCCAAATTATTTTTAAACTGGTTCTGACTGCCTAAATGCCTAAGCAAAAGCAATTTACATTAACATATTTTATTTTGCAGTTGAAGTGCGCTAGGAATGCACACCCACTCAGTTACTGTGACTCAGTCAACCAAGAGTATCTCTTTAAGCTACAATAGCTTGATTACTTGCAACTGCTTGTCTCTACCTGAAAAGAGCTGAACTGATTTCGAACCAGCCAATTCAAGTAAGCTCACACTTCTCAATCTACCTCTGAAAACCAGTATCAACCAGTTTTAAGATTCCACAATGAATTTCCCACCAATGTAATTACATTGCCTTCATTTATCTTTAAGCATATGGTTAGATACCACGGCACAACTTTTTGTGAGCCTAAGCATCAGGGCATGAGCACTAAGGAACTAAAAGCATACTTCAAATACACAGCTCTCTCAACTCCCATGTTAAAAAAAGAAAGCTCTGTTTGGTGTAAAATAAGCTGGCTCCACAGGAGAGAAACCAGAGTGATTCCTACACACTATCCAGTGTCACCAGATCTGGCTGATTTGTTCACCTCTGCAACCTTGCGGCAGCTCTGCAGATGCAGTGCAGGGTGCTCATTGCCGCCTTTCGCATGTGCCCAAAGGCGTGAGAGCAGCGGCCACGGGGAGGCAAAGTGAAGCCCCTGTTCAGGACACTTGAGGGGCCAGTCCTGCATCCTTCCCCGGAGCTCAGCTCCATCCAGCCCCACTCTGTCATACCCGTCATTCAACTCTGTTTCACCTTCAGGGACATACTTACGCTCCAAGGAAGAGAGATCCCTCACCTCCATTTCAGGCCCACGCGGTTCCCCCGCATTTTGGGCGGCCGGCAAGGGGCTCAAGCGTGCATGCGCTGCCTCAGGCTCTCCCTCTCTACGTAAAGCGTCTACCTGTTTAGACACGTGCTTCCCAATGCCTTCCCCCCACACTTCCTCCCAGATCACCCCAAGGAAAAGGGATGGCCTCTGAACACTCCATCCTATGACAAAACACCACCCGATGAGAAAGGCTTTATTAACAAAGACATATTTAGCACTGGAAGCACTGTTTGCAGTATGTAAAATAAATTCATTCTCTCCAACCTTCCTGTCACTCCCAACAGAGTACGCGGATGACACAAGAACAGGGAGAGAGTAATGCTCAGGAGTGGGACTTTAAAGTTATCTTAGAAGAAATCAGGGAGCCACTCTAGGGAAAATGATGCTATGCCTGGAAAAGAGCCGTTTGCAACAGTAAAGCTGGGGTCGCAGGACTGGAAAGCAGCAGACACTGGTGGGAAAATATCCATATGATGGAAGTAACTAGTTTGACAGAGCTGGATATAAAAGTTTTAAACTACAGAACAAGTATCACACAAAGCAGAGCTGTGCAAACTTTCCAATGTTCAACTCCAACAGAACTACGAAAATAATACCACAGCCTTGGCCTTTTCTGCCTAAATAACAAGCTGTAAGCAAGAGCCAAAGATGTCTATCATTTGGAGAGCAAAAAGTAGACTGAGACCACACTCTCATTTTACAGATAGCTACAAAGATTACATGAAGATAGGACTGTAAAGACGTATCTTTAAGTCCCTGCCAACCTAATCAAGATGGTATTAACAGTGATCTCACACTCCATCTGCCTGGCTAGTAATTTATGAAAAACGTACTTCACTATTACAGGAAAAATATGTTGCAGTGCTTGTGGCCACAAACCTACTGCAGCAGCTCAGGAACTCTTGGATCAGAGGCCGTGAGACCAGTTCTTGACATTTACCAGGTACTGCCCATGAGATCTGATTCATTCATATAGCAATTCTGTTTGTTTGCCCTACTGACAATCTCATCTTCAGACAGATAAAATAGCTGACGAAAAACTTACAGTCCCTTGCAATTTAGAGTGTAATACCATACTGTTTTGCTTTTCATCCTGTGAATTCTACATAGGTAATTAATTTTATGGGATTCTTTTTATGAGTGAAAAATCTCCCTATACTTGCACTGATCAGCAATCATTTCTGATTACATTACTCCCTTTCCTGCCAGAAAACAGAAAAACTCATCTTGCTTACCAAAACTATATTTCTTCTAATATTGCATGCCTGTTCCTTTAGCTTACATTGCCTAAGAATCAGACCTATGCGGCTTGCTAGTTGCAGAGAGCACTGTTTTTTTTTTTTTTTGGGGGGGGCAGGGTAGTGGTGGTGATGGTGTCATTTTGGAAAACAATATGAAATCTTCCAATTTCCACCAAGCCAAAGTTCAGGGGCAGCATTTTAGTATCAGAATTACATAAGATGACCTTTGGGTATCAAAACAAAAAAAAAAAAAACAACCCACCGGCATCAACACACTGGAATTAATTGCTAATTATGCATTTCTTTGCTTAGCAGAACTACCATTTGGATCATCCTTCTAGTTGCTGCAGCAAAGGAAGACTAGATATGCAATGAAGAACATGGTAAAGCAGGACAAAAAACCCTACTTTCGTTCTACAATTGTTTCTGCTGCTCACTGGGGAAAAAGTATCTAGGAAACTACTAACTGCTGCAAATGAGGAGGTTAGGATATTCAGAGCAATAACTAAGGAGTAACGGCCTATGATCTAGTCAATACTTACTCATATGAACAACTTAAAAGACATCACTACTTTTTATGCTGAATAGCAACAAGGCAAAATGAGCCTCTAATATTATTAGAAGCCTTGCACACTCAATATCATTTGTAAGACTTCTGCCACAATCAGGATATGCGAAGTTTTCCTCCTCTAGTTGTCGGACAAGACATGGGCTTGGAGCACAAGATTATTTTCTTACCAAATAAAATACCCAAATTACTTCATATACAAAGGCTGAGTGAATCTCAAGAACAATTTTATCAAGAAAGTAGGTAAATTCAGTCTCAGTAGCATTTGTTCCATCTTCAGCAATGCAGATAAAGGGAACCCCTTCCCTAATTACACATGCTCTTGTGGCTCCAATACTCCTCTATAAAACTAAACACCGACATTTATTGTATTGCAGTACGCTAATACAATTTTGAAAGAAATTGGGTAAATTTTCTAGTGTTCCTTTGAAAGTTTCTGGCTATGATATCCACAACTCATACTCAGGGAGATTTTTTTGCCCCCTTTAGTTTTGCTCCTCAAATACTTTCATTTCTGTTCAGAAACACGCTTCTACCAATCTCACTTTGCAGACCAAAAAACCTACAGATTCGTCTTTTAGAAACGTTCTTGGAAAACAAGAAATCAAAATGTCTTCACTTTATCCAACAGATACACACTTTGTAGCTTTGCTAATATATGCAAATTGTCTGATTGCTTGAAATTACTGATTAACCAGGCTGGAGAGCTGATTACCTGATTATCCAAGAGAAAAATAATTTAGCATGATTTTGTGTCATTTGACAGTCTAGATAATTTTCTAATTAATTTGAGTTTTCAAGTGAATTCAGAGATACTACTGAAAAAGAGAAAAGAGGTCAATGATCTGAATGAAGGTAAGCTTTCCAGGAATTTTCTTCTTGCAGCAATCATTTGTCAAATGTTATTGTTAGTTACAGACACTTCAGACACACACATACAAAAATGAGAACTTAGACTTCCAAAAATATTCAAAAACCAACCCATGGTAAAATCTTCAATGCTCTTGTAAAGATATCTTGTAGAGCTGGACATAAGATTAGTGGTGCACTAGTCTGACACATGGCATCAAACTTCCAGTGTTACCAATAAATTCTGAACTACACGTGAAGCAATATGCAGCAGATATTTTGTCAATATGCTGAGAGAATAATAAATATTGGAAATACGTACTTGCCACTGAAAAGTTGTTGAGTGGATATGGCAGATCCACATCCTGGGGCTTCTCCTTATAGCCTATGAAAGAGCCATCTGTCTTTAGCAGGAAATATCTTGGCCGCCAGTTTTTTATATATTCTCCTAAAGAAGAAAAAAAAAATGTTCATTAGTACTGTAGAAAAAATCTTTGATACTAAAAAACATAACATATTATCAGTGTCTAACATTAGTTATACCAAAATCTTTTCAGACGTTTTCAGTTTACAGAGGAAACCGTAACTCCCTCCAAAAGAAGAGAAAATGGAATTGCAATGGTAAGCCTGGACTATAAAATGATGCTTCTGGAATAAGAAGCTACAAGCACTGTATAATAACAATCTGTAATTGTAAATTTTATCACACTATACTCTTCAAAATCCTACATCTTTACACCTATAAGCAGTTTGAAATTTGCTGCAGGCAAAAGTAAGCACTATGGCTTGACTTTTAAGAACAAAATGAAATCTAAACTACTACAAGGTAGAACATTTATCCTGCTGAGCCAAAGCAAAAACCATTCATTTCCTCAAAACATACACTAAGGAAATACAAGATCGGGGGTAATGGGAGAACCTACGCAAAATATACTTAACAAATATATCTGAAAGCAAAAGGAATAAAAAAGAAAAAATAGAAGCCAATTACCTTTTAAGAGGTAAGTCCACCAATAAACCCACCACCTCCACCTTCCCCCTACCCCAGTCTGAGCAGAAGATTCTGCTAGCCATGAGGCATTCAGGATAAGAAACATACAGAACAGGTCAGCAAAGACACGATAGCTTAATTAATGCCACTTATTTGCTATTTAAGGGTGAAAAATCTCTTTAATAGCATTATACTTTACAATGCCACACCAAAATCTCAGCAACAATTTCATTTTTAAAGTGCAATTACTCAGTTAAGTACAGGTGAGTTTACATCTGCCCAACTTTCCCTGTCTTTGACTTCTATCAATTCTGCAAAGTAAATAACGTATGTACAAGTACCTACTAAGACTTTAAATAAGTCACTGTTTCATCATTATACAAGTGAACATTTTAAGACTTACATAACATTTACACTGTATGTAACAGTGCAGAATTTCCAACTGTGCCTACGACTTCTCACCGTTTGCAAAATGCTCAGAACTGACCAGTCCAGGGGCTGCACTGGTCCTGGGCTAAGCCCAGCCCTTAGGTGTCATTTACCACCTCAGCACCCTGTTAACTGTAGCTGTGTAGCTTTTAGACAATTCAAAGATCAGAAAGAAGTTTACATCCATCTGACACAGAGATTACACCATTAAAGGCTAATCTAAAAATTCATTAATCGCATCTTCACCTTTTCATCAGAGCAATCAACTAATTGTCACTGAAGTTCAACACGGGAATTGTTAATACAGCCTTGCTGAACTTGATCAAAACTTGTAAGGATTTTGACGATGCCCATGGCCTAAAAATCTAACTGCAGCCATTAACATTTCCCATTTTCAACACGTATTTAAGTAGAGAAGCGGGGTAGGGAGTAGGAGATGGAGAATAGAAAAGAGTGAGAAAAATGAACACCAGGCTATTCGTGCTGACATGTTTCCTGGCCCTCAGTAGCAAAACTCCTCCTATTTAGTCCTGCTTCTAGATAGCAGGGTACCTGCTTGATTTTGTTATCTAGACATTTTCATATAAGTAGAAAGAAAATTGAAAAAGCCAGTGTTACTTATTTTGTCCACAAAATTAATAGAGCAGATATAGCGTTAGTTATATTTGTATTGACTCAGATCTTTCTATCTCAGATCTCTGGTGCTAGTTCAGCTGAGAACATCCCTACTGACACTGCCAGTCTGAACTGATTTCTCAGTGGGAAATCCCAGCTAACATAAAAGCAAACAATAAAAAAACCAAAACAAAACAAAAAACCAGATATGAGATATTTGTAAATTGGAGAAGAAATACAAGTGCCGTATGGGAAAACAAATGCGTAGCTTTAATACCAACAACAGTGAAAAACTGTATCATCATTACACGAGAAGGTAAAGACATTTCTTGAATTAAGTTTGCTGAATACTTGAAAACGAAATAATCATAGGCCTAAGTAAAGGTTTGACTCATACGTTAAGAACGTTTAAAATATGCCCTGTGACAAATTTGCCAAAATCTGCATGGACTCAGAAGGTGAAGCCAAAACAAAACCTTACATATCAGATCATTCAATATCAGTTTTAAAAATATTAACATCCTAGTTGCTTTCTTAAACAGACCATAAAGAGAATCTTCTGTACAATTCTAATAAAGTATATCTTATTTATTTGTAACAGTAAGTGACAGTTTATGAGAGAAAGTGCCTGCTACTAGGTTTAAAACCTATCAAGATCTTAGTCTTATCTAGAAGGTGTGTTAACTGGAAGGCAGGCACCTAAAACTACTGAAGAAGAGTTCAAGGATAGCATGGAGAGAATACCAACATGCTTAAAACAGGTCTGCCATCCAACGGTTCAGGTTTCAAAGAGAGTCCTCCTTTCCATAAGGAATAAACTGGACAGGGAGATAAGCAGACTCTGCTCTAAGAATCAGAGCTGATAGGGTAAGTACACTCATTAGTCACTTCAGGAAAGAACAGAAGCCTTCACTTCCTTACATACACGCTCTCCAGAACTAAACCTGTAGAAAAGGAGACCGTTCTAGCAGGTGCCCTTAGAGACCCAGCACACATTTCCCTGATCACTTACTCCCTCTTCTCCTCTTAGGACAACACTTCAGATTGCATTTGGCTTCTACGAGGTACTCTGAGTCTATTAATCGGAAAACCAAACAGATTTTTGATCATCCACTGAGTTACGCAGCTGATGTTCTGCCTGGAGAAAAAACATTAGAAGAGTATGACTAGCACTTCCAAGCTTCTCTGAAGAGAGCTCGCAACTTTGGACAAAAGCTAATCACAAGAAGATATAAATATTGAATGACGTATAAATACCAGTTTATCCATGAACACAGCTGTGCCTCTGTCTTCACCCTGCAAACTATAGCCAGACACAGGACATGCAATTTAAAAGCAACTGCAAAACCCTATGGCTTCGTAAGGATCCCTACATTTCTTTCATAGACATATTTCTTTGAAGAATGTTTCTCCTAAATGGTTCCCCAACATGAATCAAGGTCAGACTACTTTTTCAAGATGTCTGTACAAACACACATACAAAAAAAACCCCTAGTTTTGTCTTGAAATGACCAATATTCCAATCCCTCTTCAAGGCCTATACATGAATATTTATCATCTGCCCTTTATTTATTTTGTAATTTAATTAACAAATGGGTGAACACTTTTGAAGACTAAAGTAAACAGTGGTATCAGTGAACAGTTCACTTAGCTGCTCAAGTGGTTTAATGGCTCTCAAGATGCACTCTAGGTGCTCTCTTATAACTGCATTCCTTCTACATAATGTGCTTAAAGATAGAAAAACATTTTAGTCCATACTTCTTAATAGACATATGCTTACTGAACTGCTTTGAGAGAGAAATCCTCCATACAAAAAAATACTAAAACACAGCAGAGTATTTGAAAAGAAAAAACACTTCCACATGCCTTTTAACTTACCAACCTCGCATTAAAAAGAAAAAAGTATATTTTACAGTATGAGCAATATTAAATTACTTTAAAGATATTTGGAGTGTATGTTTATCAAATACCTCAACACAAGCAAACAACAGGAAATTTACATCTGAAATTCATTAACTCAAGAGAAAAGAAATTCCATGAGAAAGAGGAAGTCCAGGCAGGCTAACAAAACCACAAGATATCCTGACAATTTAATGAAATCGAGCTGCAGTACTCAAAAAAGCAGTGGATCTGCCATAGAGAATTAATCAGTTTGTACCCGACTTCCTTAGGGATGCAATGGGCTTATATTTTGCTTTAACTTACACCCTTCTAAGTTGAAAAATATGTTCTTTTAGGATCTGTTTATTAGACAGTAAGAAGAGGTCTCTAATTTCAACCACTGCAGCAAAGAAAGCCAAGTAATTCCTACGTCATTTTAATTCTAGTCAAAGTTTTTACAGCTACTTGAGAAAAGGGGCACTAGAATATATACCTCACAGATATATACAGACAATAAATACATACACACGCAACAAAATACAAATTTAGAATCAGTTTTAGGTTGTTGGGGTCTGCCTTTTTAATAACTACCAAGAGAATACACCCAAAAGATGAAATAAAACAGCAGTACATTCTTGAAGCACATGAAAATGCAATCTGATCTTCATGCAAAAAGCACCGTCATAACATGCAACTCTTTAATTAATGTTGTATTTAATAATACACTGGCTAACAACAATAACAACGAATGCTTAATGAAGGTTTATTTAGAACATGAGCCTCACGGCTGGCTCTGTATTCGCCTCTGTACTGCAACCTTAATGATTTTTCTTTTTTGCCTTTGACAGCTAGTAACAAGAATCCTGCCTTCAGGATATTTCACAAACATGTTTATTCTAGTGATGCAATGTTTGTAGTTTAGATACTGCTGAGACACTGCACAAAGAAGAGCTTTCTAAGAAACCATGAGTAGCCAACAAATCCATGTTAGACAAATGTATCACTCAAAGTTCACAATTTTTTTACTTCACCTCGGAACGCCAACTCTCTCTTCAAACATATACTTCACCTCAGATTTGATGGTCGCTATTGTTAGTCTCACCACTTGTAATTCTTAAGCATATGGAAATTTAGCAATTCTTGAAAAATTATTCAGTAATATAAAATTAATCTTATTATTTTAAAAACTGTATTTCTTTTTAAAAATCACTTTTGCAAAACATCTACATTTTTCAATATGTAAATGGTTTTAGAGGTGTGAAAGAAACGTCTTTAATATACAGTGCTGATAAGCAACAGAAACCTGAGTTCAAAAACTTGCTTCCTTAAAAGAAGCAACAGCTGCCACACAGACATAAGTGAGATTTAAGGGAAGGAGGAAAAAAAAAAAAAAAGGGGGGGGGGGGGGGGAACCCACCCTCCCTGCAAGCAGAGAACACCAGAAATCTGCCTCTAGTCTGTGTCATCAATTTACTAAAATGGATTTAATAGAAATAATATACAAATATTGTTCTCCTTTCTTTTTTTCTTTT